GCAGTGAGAAGCAAAATGTCTATTTTGTGTAATAGTAATAAACAATAAATAAATAAATAAAAACAGTTTTTGTTCTCTTGGAATATTACTTGATTTGCATTAAAAGCTGGTTTTTACCTTCAGCAGATTGTTTGTTGCAGTTTGTCTCAGTAGTGCTGCAGTTCTCCTTCTGAACTGTAGATGTCACTAAGKAGGAAACAATGGTAAACAGCAGGAAGTGAAAACAGAAGAAAAGCTGTGAAAATAATCTTTTGCGCACAAACAGAACTCCATGTGTTACAGCGGAGGTCTCTGTGTAGAAACAAASCTAGAAGCCCGGCTGTCACTTTGTTTTAGACAGCTGCTCCTTCAGCGACAGACTGCTGCATCCTAAATGCACAAWGGAGCGTTATCGGAGATCCTTCCTCCCAGCAGCTGTTAGACTCTATAACCAGCACTTCTAACAATCTCCATAAGCATCCATGTTTGTGTTTGCACATCAACACTGTTTCTTAGTCGTTACATAAATAATACTCTGTAGCTATTATACATCTATTCTCCAGTACTGGAACACTGCAATGTAAACATCATGCCCAGACAGTACAATACTTATTACACATGTACGTTATACACACTGACAGAAATCACTCAAGACTCAACTGCACACCCCCTCGGATCATGAGTCTGTCATGACTGTTTTCCTTATAATTTTTCTGCACAGTATCTTACTTTTACTTCAGTTTTATTGCCTTGTACAGTATTTTTATTTTATCTTATTTAATTTTAATACCATCTTAAATCTATTATTATCGCCACCATCGCTAATGTTGCATAGCATCATATTTTTTTGTGCATTGATGCATCTGCTGCTGTTACACCTGAATTTCYCCTCAGCGGGACAATAAAAGCYGTTTCTATTCTATTCTGCACACTYATGATGCATAGATCACTTATCTGGGTTATGWATTAGATCTAATCATTAGCATTAGATACATCCAACAGAGGCTTCCAGTAGATTTTCTTTTTCCATCTTCAGTGTTGGWCAATTTTCATAAGCTGTCCAAAACATTTTAGTGAGAGAGGACCTTAAAAGTGCATCTGTGCCAGCATTAACACATCTTTACATCCTCCTTTCGATCCATACAAACCCTACAGCAAAAGGTTTAATTCAATACATTTGTTATATATAAACTGCTTGTTTTCCAGTTTTTTTAAAAGCAGACCTCTGTTTGATTTGCTTCAAGATAAAATCAAGTCTGAAATGTTTCACCTGCAAAGCTTTTTTATTTCTGTTTTCCATGTTATGAACTGTACATGTTACAGTATAGGAAACAAAGAGGGAAAATAATCAAGGAGCATGCTTTTCAAATGTTCTTTAAACAGATTGCAGGTTAGCTGTAACAAAAAGTCAGATCAGCAGGACAGAGGTGCAGAACTTCCTCACAAACATAAAAACGCACAAACCCAAAGAGTCAAACTGGTTTTAGGCGACTGAGGTGCATCTGTTGTTTTCACAGCCAAATATATATTTATTAAACTAAGGCTTTCACTGAATATGATCTAAAGCCAGCAGTCTACAGTTCCATTATTGCTTCAGTCAGTCTCATTCAATTAAAGCATTTTTAAACTACAACAAAGATTTAAAAGAAAAAAACCAACACAGAAATTGTCAAAATGCTACTTTTTAAAAAATTATTTTAAGAAAACAAGTGGCAACATGTCCATGTTGATGCTTGGTTTTTATAAACAAACAGCTATTATATTTTACAACATATAAAAAGAAGGAAGAGTCACACCTCCAACTACCAAAAAAAAAAATCAATCTAAAAGAAAAGACATTTCTAAATGTACAGCGAGGAAACGGTCAGTAACCCAACAGCTCCTCCGTCAGACCAAACATCCAGATGATGGTTTGAGAGACGGGAGGTGCTGAACAGGATGGAGCTCCTCAGTCAGGCAGAATCTCTGGCATCACTGTTTAAGGCACGGTCAGTCTGTAGCTGGACTCTACAGGTCCACAGCTGAGCGTAAAAACTGTAAACTTGCACTTCCACTAATGGCCACTAGGTGCTGCTTCTCCAACAATACAAAGGCTGACACAAGCAGGTTTGACTCCTTGGGAAAACAAGCAGGATTCTGTGGCTTAGAGAACATTTGTTCAATCAAAATAGATTTTAGATGATTCTGCCGTCAGCTGCTTAGATTAGCATAAATACTGAGACTAAGTAAGCCAAGCTTTGCAGCTGCTAGTCAGAGGCAGAGCTTCATGTTGACTATTAGCACTATCCTCTTTTTATTTTTTGCCATGTTAAACTGTAAGAAAAAAAACTAATCCAGGTTCCTGCAGTTTATCTACAACTTCCTGCACAAAGACTGTYTCAGTTCAGGGGTTGCAGCCATTTATCGGCTGCTTGCGTCACTGTGCCACGCTGTAGGTGGTGTTTCTCACGTGGCCAACAAAGCACAGAAAACATAGGCTGATGATGTCCCAGAATTCATTGCACCGTCTGCAAACTAAACAGAAAAACAAAAACAGCGGAGGTTGTTGGTTTTGTTCTGCTTTTACGGTGGAATTTGGAAATTTATCACAGATTCACTTTCAAATAAATCAAATACAGTTTCAAGCACTGAAACTTGTTCTTAGTTACGTGGAATGTTGTTTTAGTACTGAACTTTCTGAAGTTTTACCATGAAAGGACACCTGAAGGCATGTGTTATAAACGTATGTGTGGTCACGCAAACATACGTTATCTATAGACCAGAGCGCCTCACATCACAGCTGTTCATGCAGCCCACACTAACGGGGCGTGGCCCACGTGGGCTGCAGCCCCTGAGCTGAGACACAGACATTTACTTTGTTTACGCTGGGATCTGCAGACTCTTCAGACAAACATGGTGGCAGTGAGCAGAAGTCAAATATTCATGAAATGTTTCTTCAAACATCAGCAGGTCAAGTGGCAGCAAAGGTCCTTTTTCTTTTCTTTTCTTTCTTTTTTTGTAGCAGATGAAAATCTGTCCTGRAAGCTGGTTTCCTCCTGTAGGAGGACAAACACAAAGAGCCTTTCACAACAAGGGGAAAAGTTTGGTTTTTTGGCTGAAGTGTCGCTGAAACARAAAGAAAAACAGAACTTTACAGTCAGGAGCCACAAACTGTCTGCTTCCTTCAGAGAACGTGTTCAGATCAGCGCTGACAGGTTCTGATGTTCTGGCCGGTTGGGTTCAGCTTCATCACTGGCTGTGAGACATCAGGACGTGATACGGAGGAGACATCAGGACGTGATACGGAGGAGACATCAGGACGTGATACGGAGGAGACATCAGGACGCGATACGGAGGAGACATCAGGACGTGATACAGGAGGTTGGGGACATCAGGACGTGATACGGGGGGTTGGGGACATCAGGACGTGATGAGCTGGACATAGTTGGCAGGATAAAGGCCGGTCTGACCGTCTCTCAGAAGTCCTCTACACCAGCCCTGCTCGTCCTCCTCACCCAGCTTCAGCAGCTCCTCACCTGAAGACAAACACATGAAACCAGATTCGTCACACAACTGACTAACAAAATGTCCAAAATGTCTAACTGAGAATAAACATCAGTTCAACACCAACCTGCTCGTCTTTGTCTAAAGTTAACATTCATTTGGAGCAGATTTGATGTTTCTGTATTTCTGAGAGGAAGATGTGTTTTAGAGCAGATTGTCTGCTAACTTTAAGAAGTCTTTAGCTGATTTTCCTCTGCTTATTTCAGACTGACTGCTGAAGCCGTTCTGCATCTTGTCCTTGTTGGGACCTCAGAGTCAGAAGAACACTCCAGTTCTGACTCGGTACTACAGGATCAGGGTTTGGAAGTACAGAGTGATACAGTCCTATACAGCCTGTTATTAATCAGTGTGAAGCAGAGATCATCTGATGCATTTAGGACACAACAGAACAGCTTTTCTGTCACATTGGAAAGACAAGGAAACTAAATTAATTTGGATGTGAATCTTTTTCTTTAAAAAAGTTGAAAATAAAGGCTGTCTTCAGGAGTAAGAACCATGATTAAAACCTGTTGTTCCASTCTCTCCTGTACTTTAACATGAAACCAAAGATCAATGGAGGACAAAACTAAGAGAAACTATACTTTTATCATCCCAGTAAATTGTTGTCAAATATCTTGCAAGAAATTTAAAATCCAGTCAGATCCTTTAAACTCAGCTCTTCAAGTCTTTTCATGAYAAATCAGACTCCAAATGTTCAGCGTGTTTTTCAGGGTCACACTGCCCTGCTGTCACAGTGAGGTCTGGCTGATCTCAGTGTTGGGGTCATTCTTTTGGCACTCTGCACTGAACTGGCCCCAGCATTACAGAGAGAAACCAGGAGGAGCTGTGCGTTAATTGGTTCCAGTTCAAGTCCTCATCACACTGGAATTTTTTGCACCCTGAGATTTTCAGAGGGATCTGACCGACAGGTCGGGCATTTTAGTTGTTTTAGTGGTCCCTGAGATGAGCTATGCCAGCAGGATTCCTACAGCTTCAGGTAAATTTCATTTAAGACTTTTCTTTAAAGGGATCCATGATTAGTTGTAACATTAGACTTTATTTGATAAACATATATTTTAACTGTAAAATAAAGACTGTAAAAACACTGTAGG